TATTTATGTGAGAGGAAGAAAGTATCTATCAGCAATATATTTTCAGTAAAGGAAAATTATAACTTCTGTAAGACCAGTACCTGCTTATCTGGGGGTGTGTATATATACCTATAATTTTTTTTTTTTTATTATCACTGTATGATACATAAAGGACTGTCACTCATGGACTTCATGAGTAAAGCACTTGACATATTCTGATGTATACCAAGGTGCTTTCCCCAGATGTTTTGCCCAGGCTGACCACACTTGGCTATCTTAATATAAATCAAAAAGTGCTTCCCCTAGATGTATTTTGGCCGGGTGGACTGCACTTGTTAATCTTAGAATACTATGCAAGGTGCTTCCACTGTTCTTTTTGACCAGATGGGCTGCACTTGGCAATTACCGACACATCCCAAGGTGCTTCCCATGGATGTTTTTTGTTCTGGCAGACCACACTTGGCTTATTCATGTACGTTTACAGTCCTTTAGCCCTCACTACATGTTCTTATATCTGATTACAGGCACCTTCAGATTTAACTATGATTGTGCCATGTGCTCAAACTTGCTAAATATGTGGACATCTTGCATACTATCTGTTGTCCATGGGTGGAATCTGTATTCTATGACATGGTGCGTGTCTATTAAGTTCCACCCTATGTGTCTTACTTTGTTCATTACTGGATGAAGAGCATATCTGTTCCAGAAAGAGTGCTGTACCCCATAGGTGTGCCTCCTATTATAATTATGGAACACATGTTCTTTCATGGTGGTTGTTCTTCATTTGTTTGATTACTTATGTGCCTTCACTGGTCTGTCCACCTTTGCAATGTGGAACTCTAGATTAGAGTGAATAGAAGTAGTACTGTTTTGGAAGTTAACATTTTCTAACACTGTAAATGTATTTCCGATAGGTACTAACCTCTTCTCACCACATTCCCACCCTTCTTCCCCATTGATTTGCCAGTGTTTCTGTTTTGTATCTACCAATTCTCGAAAGTGAGGATTCTGCTGCAATGGTAGAGAGAACTATCTGCACTAGTATACGTGGTGCACTACGATTGGTGAAGGGTAGTCACATTATCACCACAAGTTGCTGCAACAGTGCACAAATGAAGGTTATAAAAGACAGTTGGGCTGTTGTAAACGTTAGCAATGTTTAGAGGGTAAATCAAGGTCGAGATACTTTTGTGTTAGAAAAGGTAAGTACCTCTTGGAAATACATTTTCAGTGTTAGAAAATGTTAACTTATATTTACATCACTTGTATATTCAAGAGCATTTAACATGTATCACTTTTTGTCATTTACATAATTATATGTGGTATGTGTCTTCAAATGCATTATGGTTTTTATCTTCATCTGTAATCTATATAGTAACTTGTAACATTAACTCTGAGCACGGGCTTAGTCCCTGGGACTAACCTCATAACCATTTTGTACTTCTTATAGTTTTCCTGCTATAGCTTTTAAATTATTAAGTGAATATTAACGAAATTTGGTACAGTATCAGTAAACATTTAAATGCTTTCATATGCGAAATATCAGATTTTTTGTTATTAAATCTTAAGGTTTGTAAAGCAGTTTTTCTCGTGCCTTTTTTTTCTTTTTGTCATGTTGTCTATCTAACATACAAAGTCATTTTCATTTTAGGATTAAAAATACTTTTATGGATCAGAAAATTTTCAAATTTCACATG